TATTATATTTTCTCAGAAAAAATTGCCAATATTTCTATGGTTTTCATACTATGTATGAAGGTCGCAATTTTTTCAAAAATCAGCAATTTTAATTATAAAGTGATTTTTGGTTGAATTCAACCGGTAAATTTTCTGTTATAATATAATTGTAATTTCATAGATTTTTAATTTCTTTAATATGTTTTCATAGGTCAGATTAGGGTAGGTTAGGCTGGGTTTGGTTTGTCGCCCCAAAGTCGTTTTTTGGTTGCCATTTTTTGCACATTTTAGGCTAATTAGACTGGGACCTACAGTTTAATGTAATTAGGCTAAGAGATAACGAGTTGCTCCCAAATTAAGAAATCTTTGTTTGAAACCCCTACTAGAAATACAGAATCTATCTTTCCAAACGACAGACGTGAAAAATGTAAAGGTCTGAAAACCCTTTTCGAGAGGATATTGTACGTTAGCCTGCCAAAGTATATCCATAAGGGTGATTAATTTAGATATTTAAAAAAATGTGCCTAAATGTTGGTGCCGTGTGGTATCTTTTCCTGGCTTAAATACACTGAATCTGCTATATATCTGCAGTTAAAGTGTTAAAAGATCTCTAGCCAAAATCCTCCTGCATTGGAAATGCATGTCTTCAATTTTATATAATTGAAGTAAATTAACTGGAAGAGTTGTAAATAAATATCATAATAAAATTTGTCGTAAGTTTTATGATTAATAAAACTTTTGGAAGGTACTTAAACAATATATTTTTCATCTGGAAATATAAATGATAAAAACATTAACTACAGAACATAATATTTTCGAGGTAATATTACCATAATACCTAGCATAACAAAACTATACATAAGAGACGAAAATTCTTGTATTTGTTGCTTCTTGAATACTTAATATTCTTTACGTTCAAACTGCATAATGGTACAGAAATTCTCGTGTTGCTACCTTGTGTTTGCATACATAATTAATAGCGCCAGAGTCATAAAGACCCAAGTTGTAAATCAATGATTTACAACGCAGGACTTTATGATTTACTTTTGATTCTCTCCGGTCTGTTTGAACAGTTGCATAGTAGAAAATCCAAAATTTTTTATTAGTTAAATGGAAATAAATGCCTAGGAAGAAACGACAATTGAAGCATATCTGGGATTGTTAAACAATGTTGTATTTCTAAAATATTAGCAAAGGTATCATAACGGAATTCGGTTGTTCTAAATTCTTTTAACGTCAACAAAAATTCGAAATAACCAAAGATGTTATTCTTGGTATTATTTGAGTTTTTTTGGCTAAATAAGAAAACAAGTTGTTAATTAATTGTTCATAATAATTACCGTTATAATTTATTATTTTTACCACTATAAGTTACATGTATATAAGTTATCACTTACAATTACCACTATAAGTTACAAGTACGCTAAGAGAACAAAGTATATTGCTCCATCACAACGGAAGCTGGCCCCCCTTTTTACTCCTGTCATGAGACCACATTGGTACCTAGACCAAGTCCAAGAACCAATGTGGCTGAGCGGGAATATTGTAAGTTAATCTACCAAGGTATATTCATAAGTGTGCTCAATTTAAATTTTAAAAAAGGTGGTTGAATGTGGATGCAATCTAATATCTTTCCACGCTTTCAAAAACACAAATTGGTTTAAGCTGAATCTGCTATATATCTGCAGTTTAAGTATTAAATATCTCCAGTCAAAATCTCTGATATAGGGAATCCGGAAACAAGATGTCTGCAATTTTGTAGAATAAAGACAAAGTAAATGCGAAAGTTTTAAATAAATACCACAATAAAATTTGTCGCAAGTTTTATGACTAATAAAACTTTTGGAAGGTACTTAAACAATATATGTTTCGTCCGAAGTTAAATGTGTGAAATGTATTAACTAAAGATTTTGGATGTGGTATTATCCCTAATATCACCACCATAGCAACACAATCCTAGCATAACAAAACTATGAATAGCATACGAAAATTCCTGTATTTCTTGCTTCTTGAATACTTAATATTCTTCACGTCCAAACTGCGTAATGGTATAAAAGATCTCGAGTTCCTACCTTGTGTTTGCATACATAATTAATAGCGCCAGAGTCATAAAGACCCAAGTTAAAAATCAATGATTTACAACACGGGGCTTTATGATTTACTTCGGATTTTCTCTGGTATGTTTGAACAGTTGCATAGCAGAAATTCCAAAATTATTCATTAGTTAAATGGAAATGCCTTGGAGTATAATGTCAATTGAAGCTGATCTGGGATTGTTTAACAATGTTGTATTTCTAAAATATTAGCAATGGCATCCCAGCAGCATTCAGTAGTTTTAAATTCTTTTGACATGTATGACGACGTCCACAAAAATTTGAAAGAACTAAAGATGTAATTTTTAGGAATATTTGGGTTTCGTTTGGCAGCACCAGAAAACAAGTTGGTAATTATGCAAAATAGGTGTTCATGATGATATTAAGTATGTATCTCCTTGTGTGCAACTCGAACTGTGTATTGTAATTTATTTTAATCACACCATTGGCAAAAGGCTGCAAGTAAGACATAGGGTCTACGACACAAAAGGCGGCCTAATGGCCAATTGGCTATCGCTTTGGCCTTTGGTGCCATAGGCTTCATGTTCGAATTCTTGCGGAGGCATGGATGATTGTTACAGGTTCGGAATCCACATTAAACTGTAGGTACCGGTCTAATTCGCCTAAAGTGTGCACAAAAGGACCGTAGAGCGACAAACCAAGCAATTCTTTAAAGTGTTAGATGATCTTCAGTCATATTCGTCGGCATTGGAAATCAATAAACAAGGAGTTTTCAATTTTATAGAATAAAGACACATTACATGTGACAAATTTTATTCTGGTATTTATTTAAAACTTACGCAAGTTTTATGACTAATAAAACTTTTTAAGGTACTTAAACAATATATTTTTCTTCTTACAATGTGATAAAAATATTAACTACAGAACATAATATTTTTGATGTGTTACCACTAATATCCACTCCAAAGCAACACAATCCTGGCATAACAAAACTACACGTAGCAGACGGAAATTCGTCTGTTTTCTTGCTTCTTGAATACTTAATATTCTTCACGTCCAAACTGCATAAAGGTATAAAAGATATCGAGTTGCTGCCTTGCGTTTGCATACACCACAGTCATAAAGACCAAAGTTGTAAATCAATGATTTACAACACGGAACTTCATGATTTACTTTAGATTTTCTCCTAGCTGTTTAAACAGATGCATAGCACAGAATCCAAAATTATTCATTAAATAGAAATGCTTTGGAGAAAATGACAATTGAAGCAGATCTGGGATTGTTAAACAGTGAGTTTTAAAAATATTAGTAACGGCATCCTAGTAGCATTCAGCAGTTCTAAATTCTTTTGGCATGCATGAAGTTGTCTACAAAAATTCAAAAGATATAAAGATGTAATTCTTAGGAATTTTTGGGTTTGGCTGGTTGGACCAGAAAACAAGTTGGTAATCATGCAAATTAGTTGTTCCTAATAATTATCATTTTAATTTATTATTCATTATAATTTATAAGTATGCTAAGAGAACAAAGTATATTGCTAAATAGCAGCAGAAACTGCCCCTCCCCCCCCCCCCTTTTTCCCTCCTATCATGACACCACATTGGTTCCTAGTCCAAGAACCAATGTGGTTGAGCGGGGATATTGCATGTTAATCTACCAAGGTATATGGTGAACTTGAATTTTAAAAAAAATTGTGTCAAAATATAGGTGCAGTGCCATGCTTTCCATGCCTTCAATAGCCCAAATTGGGTCACTCTGAATATGCTATATATCTCTTAAAGTGTTAAATGATCTCTAGCCAAAATCCTCCTTCATTGGAAATCAATAAACAAGATGCCTTCAGTTTTATAAAATAGAAGTAAATTAAATGCAAGAGTTGTAAATAAATACCATAATAAAATTTATCGCACTGCTAAAACTGTTCAAAGGTGCTTAAACAATATATTAATAAGAAAAATATTAACAACAGCACATAATATTTTTGAAGTGGTATTATCAATAATATCCACTCCAAAGTAACACAATCCTAGCGTAACAAATCTACATGTAACAGATGAAAATTCCCTCTATTTGTTGCTTCTTGAATACTTAATATTCTTCACGTCCGAACTGTATAAAGGTATAAAAGATCTCGAGTTGCTACCTTGTATTAATACATACATAATTAATAACGCCAAAGTCATAGCGACCAAAGTTGTAAATCAATGATTTACAACACGGGGTTTTATGATTTGCTTTAGGTTCTCTCCGGTGTGTTTAAACAGTTGCATGGCAGAAAATCCAAAATTATTCATTAGTTAAATAGAAATGCCTTTGAGAACATGTTAATTGAAGTAGAACTGGGATTGTTAAACAATGTTGTACTTCCAAAATATTAGCAATGGAATCCTAACAGTATTCAGTAGTTCCGAAATTCTTTTGACATGTATGAAGACGTCCATAAAAATTCGAAAGGACTAAAGATGTAATTCTTAGGAATATTTGCGTTTGGTTGGCTGAACCAGAAAACAAGTTGATTTATTATGCGAAATAGCTGTTTTTAATGATGATAATAAGCATGTATTCCTTGTATGTAACGCCATCTAAACCACGTTGTGTATTGTAATTTGTCAATTATCTTGATAATCCGGTCCGCAAAACCGATAATCTGATCATAATTTTGATTATTTGCCTTGTGTTGTTGTTGTTTCTTATCCCACTTGGCTGGCCAAGCCCACGAGCCCATACGTACTCATGATTGAAGGGGAAGGAAGCAGCTTCTGTTGTGATGGAGCACCCGTAGGTAGAAGTCTGACTTTGACTCCGTGACGCTCTTGCAGTCATCGGCGATCGGGACCTACGGTTTAAAGTGGATTTCGAACTAATACAAACATCAATGGCACCGCCGGGATTTGAACCCGAAACCTGTGGCACCGAGCGCCAGGGCGCTAGACACTCGGCCATTCAGATTCCAAATTTGAGAATGCCAACAGCACGCGGTGTTCCCCAGGTGGTCACCCACCCAAGTACTGACCGCGCCCATGATGCTTGACTTCGGTGATCTAACGAGAACCGGTATATTCAGCATCATGGTATGGCCGTTGGCTATTTGCCTTGTACAAAACACATATGACTCTTTCATAGGATTAAAAAAAATCGAATTAGATAAACAATTTAAAAGACCAGTAAATGTAAAAAAAAGAAAATTGTTACTAAATAAAATATATGCAAGCATATAAATTATTAACAAAAATATTTTTTTCTGTTAGAATGTGTTATTATTGTATATTTTTTCTCAATTATTTTCAAACATTTGCAAAATATCAAATTTCAATAAAAAGTGAAGAATATTGATTATGATAATGATTTATTGACGATTCTGGCTTAAGAAATTTTTTCTGGTTCTTTCTTCTGGTTTAATGATTTCTTGACGTAAAGTTTCAATTGATCGATTTTGCGCGAAATATGTATATTTAAAATACAGAAATTTATCTCCTTGTCGTATATATGCTCATTTAATTTCTATAAAATCTTAATGATCAAAAGTATAAGAAACTTTGAGAGAAATGGAATATTTTTGTGGTTCAAATTTCTACTCTGGCATAGCTAATAATAGCATTTGAGACGTACAGGCTTCAGGTTCAAATTCAGGTTCAATTCAAGGCATGGATATTTGGGAATGGTTCGGAATCCTCTTTAAACTCTAGGTCTTGCTCTAATTAGTCTAAAGTGGGCACAAAATAACCGTAGAGCGGCAAACGAAACCTTTTGTAATGTGGCCAGCTACTGTGCATGAGGATCTTGTTTGAACACAGTAGCGGTGTCCGTTGCTGACACTACATTAAAAACAAGGAGTCCCAACAGAGATTATGACAACGTGTAAAGAATGCCACATTGTTATTCGGGCTGTCTGGTAAGATTGTCTGGATCTCCTCCAATATGACGCGACCTGGTGGCCCAGTGGCTAGAGCGCTCTGGCTTTTAGTATCACAGGCTTCATGTTCAAATCCTGGCGATGGCATGGATGTTTGTTAGCTGTTCGGAATCCATTTTAAATTGTAGGTCTCCGTCTAATTAGCCTAAGCTGTGCAGAAAATTAATGTAGAACGACAAACCAAACATGTTGTAATGTGCCCAGCTACTGTCCAGAAGGATCTCGTTTGAATACTCTGGCGATGTACGTTGCGGACACCGTTTTCGAAACCGAGAAGACTTGACGGAAATTATGACAATATATGAAGAGTGTCACATTGATAATCAGATAGTCTAGTGAGGGTTGTCTATGTCTCCACCAACATGACATACAAATGTAAGGTAAACCCGTAAATGAATTCAATTCATTGCTGGGCAGTATGTTGTCGTGGCATACCCTCCAATGTTGAACAATAAATCAGAAACATGAAAATTCTTTTACTAATATTGGCTTATTTTCTTTTACTAATATAATTTTAATAACATTACTAATTGGCTTTTATTATTGCAAAACATTTCTGTGTAAATGAATAAAAAATAGCCTCAAAATTTCAATCTTTTTCAACCTTATTATTTTATTCTTCTAATTCTAACCTTATAATTTCAGTAGCCACTCGGCCATTTCAAACTAATTTCAGTCTTTTCAATTTCTTGCTAGTACTTTGAAGAAAATAATTTATTACTTTGCAATACAGCACACGATTCTCACTAATTTATTTCTTTGAAATAAAATGCATTCTTTGTTCAAAAAACGTCATCAAACTTTACATACAACTAAATAAATATTGTGTTATTATTCACCATGTTATTAACAACCATTTATCAAGCACCCTTCCTTATTTAACTGTATATAAAGATTAAACAATTCCAAAACGATATTTATTTAGTTACTTAAAGATCACCATTTTTATTAATGCGACATCTGTTTACGTCAACATTTTGCCCCGAATATTTTGTGCGCACTTCTACCCTAAGCTTCTTTGCTCCCAAAACGCCCACTGTTCGCTTTCATCCACTTCCCGCTTCTTTCTCCCTCTAAATCCGCTTCCGGAAGCTGCATCCCAAATCCTTGGATGCTCTGCTCCGAGGGTGTTCGCGCACCCTCACCCAATCGAACAACAAAGTTCGAAAGCCACTTCCACCCCCACATCCCATCCCCTTTCCTTTGTGCCGCTCCTAAATAGAACGCAAAAGTTTTCAGCACTGAAGTAATTACTTCTATGATTTCGAGGGTGGTTCTCTTTGGGTGAATAGGGGTGTTCCATCAGGGGTGGCCTTTGTCCTGCGATATCCGGTGGATGTTTTTCGCAAACGATATCGTTTGTTAGGGATACGTTTTGGAAATGGTTTCGTGAAATTGGATGCTGTAACCAATTAGGAAAAAAAAAAATGTTTGAAATGTGGAAGATACATTGCAGTGGAAAAATGATTTCTAGTATTGTAAATGAAAAAACTGTTGATGATGCATTCAGTTATAAATCTATAAAACATTTTTTTTAACTGTCACTTAACTTTCCTAATTTTTTCAATGCGTAAAAATGATAATTTTTTCTAATAATAATTTAACCAGGTACAGTCTCCTTGTGAACCTGCACGTAAAGGAATATTTTCAAACTCTTCACACACAACGGAACAAATTATGAAAGAAAGAAATATGGTATTGAAACAAAACGAATAAATAATAATAATAATAAATATATAAAAATAATACAAAGAAGAAAAATTGTAAAAGTAGCGTATTGTAACATCTTCGTCTATTCTAGACCTGTAACGGTTTCAAGAAGAAGTGGGCCAGCTTTAGGTTCATAGGAACACTTTAATTTTTATTTACAAGCACTATATATATTTATATACATAATTCTGGCTCTAAGAATTAATACAAATTATTATTTACAAAAAAAATTAAAAATTTAAATTTGATTCACAATGAAGTTCACTCCAAGGACGGAGATTTTCAGAGTTCTTGGTTCTACGACGAATCTAAAACACATGGTCTGCGACAGATCTTAATTATCACACGACGTGTTACACCAACAAGAGGCTCATTTTGAAAACAGGCGGAAATCCGGTCTATTCGGACACTGTCCCCCCCTGTTCAAGAGGGGGGTCCTCACTTCTCATGGGAGTAGACATTTTCTCAATTCATGGTCTATCGCCAATTACAGATGGAATATAGTTTGACCATATTGAGTCTATTTGTTTCGACCTGTGAATATCGCACAATCAATCACTAATTTCATGAGATTCATTAGTCATGACACTGAATACCTGCTATACGATTTATGTGACAGGTTGCTCTCATTAGTACAAAACAGTAATTGGATGTAATATAACCAACCACAACACTGCATATCTGCTGTCAAATTTGAGTGATTGTACGTTCTTTAACAAATGCATATCAAAAACCACTCTTCTCCCCTGGGAAATAAATGTCACAACACTTCACATTTGAAAAATAGTACAGTATAAAGCTAACCTACGAAAAGAAAATAATAATCCAAGGAATAAAAAGCATGAATTTTAAAAAAAAGTATATACATAACTACGTCACAAAGAAAGTATAGGAATACACGTTAATCATAACTGGAATGCAAAAATTCATAAAAGCTAAAAAAAAAAAAAAAAAAAAAAAAAGAAGGGTTTTGTCTCTACTAATAACATAAAAGCAACATATTAATGTTTCTTATAAAATTCAGAGATTTTGAGAAAATCTTCTTCATTGGCGCAACGGCCTCATAATGGACCAAAACTATCTACTTGCTGGCAGATTTCGAGACAGGAACCTGTTTTTCTTTTTACGGAGTAGGATTATCAGTTCTACGCATTATACCGGGACCTACTGTTTTAAAGTGGATTCCGAACTACTGCCAACATCCATGTCACCCCCCAGGACTCGAACCCAAACCTGCGGCACAGAGCACTCTTCCCTTGGCCATCAGAGTCCCTTTGAGGAATCTAGGAAGTTCTAATTCTTTCATAAATATATTTATGAAAGAATCTAAATTTTCATAAATATATATAAAAATCATTCTTCCCACTTTTTTGTAATGCTCCAACAGGGCATTTGCACAATTTACTGGATTTGAAATCAAATCGCATTTTATTGCTACTGCTACTGCTATTATTGTGCTAGTCAACATTTGACCCTTGGAAATACCGTCCCGGAAGTTTCTTAAAAAAAAATGTAGCCCATATTTAAGTTTGACGCACGCTCTCACTCACAAAATTCGGAAAAATACTTTTAAACCCCTATGGTACAATTATGAAGCAAATTATTAAAGGGGACATTTACGTGCTTTAAGTTTTTTACTTAAAACACAGAACAGATTCAAAATTATTTTCCCAGGAATACATCAGATAGTAGATCGAGTTCTTGTACATCAGCGAGCCTTGTGTTTAACTTATGTATATCCAGAAGAACGAACTATCGGGATGAAACGAGGGATTTACATTTATTGACGTTATTCGGGAGTAGCTACACCGCATATGAAAGAAAACACGGAAACTTCCCAGACAGCCTGAATATTCGATGCCAGACGCTTTGCATAACAAAATGGCCATCGAGTGCTTTGTTTCTGTAAGCAATCATTGCAACGGATGTTAGCAGCAGATTTGTATACATTTTGCATGTTAGCAACACATGCTGTCAAAGGGGGAAAACGGAAAGTACTCTCTAAAAAAATGTTATAACGCCTCTATAAACTTTAAAATAAAATAATTTATTGTATGTTATATTGTATCTAATTAGCTAATTGTTTTTAAAAAAAATAAGCGCATTTTTTTGTATTAAAGCAAATTCAATAGTTCGTTTTATTAGATAGAAGTAGTTAATTCAGTTAGAATTCAGAAATTGTAATTCAGTTGTCTATAATGATTGGCGTTTGATGAGACAGGTCTTGGGTACGAGTCCCTGCAGTGCTATGCGTAATCCATTTTAAACCGTATGTCCCGGTCTAAAATGACCGTACAGCGTTGTGCGTATTGCCGACAACGCTACCCTTTAAAAAAGAAAACATCTCCTGTCTAGAAATCTACCAGTAGGCAGACAACCTTGGCCCACCATGGGTCTGTTGCGCCAATGATGACACGATGAATTCTATCATAGCCTAGCTTATCGATGAATAATTTATT